TATTTAAAAAAAAAAAAAAAAAAAAAAAAACCACAACACACAGGGCTCAAAATGGGCTCTTTATAAATACCTATGCTCAGATGATCTTGACAGGAATTCCTGGTTAATCTTACTACTGTAGAGAAAAAACAAAAGGGACCCTAAAGTAAACTTAGGGCACCATCCAGCTTTCTCTTGGGACTCGGACTAAGTTTGCATTAATAATCTGCATGAAAAGAGAGAATGGCAGAAGTGAGCCAGTGTTCCTCTCTACCCCTGCAAACTACCTTACCTTTCCCCAGTCTTTAAGGCTAAAAAATAAGTTTCTAGATTGAATTGAGTTTTATTAATCTTCAAAGATTCAATATGGTCAAAGCCAGCATACATATCTACAAACACTCGTCTGTGCATGAGCAGATATGAACTATATATAGTTAAGCTGCATGGCAATCGCTGGCTTGGGCTTTGTCAAGGGGACCAGGGAGGGCAGGAGAGTGTGCACACTGCTGTCTGTATCACACAGAAATGCCCTGAAGCTACTCAAAGTCGGCTTCTGTGGGGATTCAAACACCTTCAAGATTGTTGAGCTAAGTATTACTAACAGAATCTGAAGGATTTGAGGATTACGCCAAAATAAAGATCAGCATCTAAAGATACATGGAAATAAAGACAAGAACTGTCTGAAACATTCACAGGGGCAACACCTTTATTAGCTACTCCTTGCCTGAATGAAAGGAGACAGAGGGCATCAGAACGCTGCCATGTGAGGAAGATCCTACAGAAACGATGGCCTATGCTTCTAGAATTACTGAGAACTCCTGCTCCAACCCTGGACTTTAGTGAGGAAGAGCAGCCCTTAGATCTAAATGCTCACACTCACCCCACGGCAGCTTAAAAAGGACCACTAAAACACCTGGCTCTAGAGCCTCACAACCTGGAAGAAGCTAATATATTCAGCCACCCAGCCAGCTCTTCATGAACCCAGGTTTCTCTGTCCCTTGAAGCTGGACTGCACTTCATGGTCATCTGCAGAGCTTCGCTGACCAGTGTGGTGGCCATGAACTTCCTGGGCACCTGAAATGTGACCCTACTGGAGTAAGGTGTGCACGAAGTACACAATACACACCAACTTCAAAGACTGTACCCCAAACAGCACTGTATCCTGACAACCTTTGTGGTACATGTTCACGTATGTTCACAATATACCAGGTGAAAGAGTGCAATCTAGTAAGGCTCATTTCATTCTGACCTTTCAAAACCAGCTCCCTTGCCACTGCTGCTAGACAGTCTGCCCTAGGTCTACGTGGGTACAATCACCCCTCCAGAGTTCCAGCTTCAAGCACTTCCACTCTGAGTACCACCTAACTCCAGCAATCCCAGGCTCCTACTTCTTAATTCCTGAACCAAGAATTCCTTTTCGGCTCTCTGCCTGGCACACCTCACATAGTCCATGGCCATGTGAGCTCTTTATACACCATTCTGCTCCTTCACTGAACTAACTCACTGACAACAGCCAGTCCTACTCCAGTCCTGGCCTGGCCTGTACGTGGCTCCTGAAAACAGAACTCTAACTTTCTAGCCTCTTACTTTCATCCAAAGCTGCTGGTACTGGAGTTTCCCTCCAGCTCTTGACGAGCCACACAAGCTCCACTGCCACCAGTGACTCCCTAGTGGCGTCCTGCTTGATGCTTAGCAGAATCTGACAGGTGAGCACACTGCTTCTAAGGCCTGTCCCCTTGGGTGCCTTCTCCACTTGCTTCTCCACTCTCCCTCCTTCTCCTTAACACTGGGTGGCCCTGGGCTCCATGCTCAGACCTCTCCACCCATGTTTTCTCCCTGTAGGACTCCCCTCTCTACGGTCTCATCATTTCTGGGCAATATTAAAATGCTAATACTGCTCCCATGTCTAGCTCTAGCCTAGGCCTCTCCGAGTTAGACTGACACATGACTTTGTATCCAACACCTACAGCAGACATCTTAAAGGCCAATGTGTCCAAAAACACAACCCGGGTGCTCTCCTTCCTCCCCTCCCTAGCCTGCCATTCCCATAGTTTTTCCAGTTCAGGGAACCAGATTCTTCCGGTTTCTCTGTGCCCAGCAATGATATCAACCTCATGAGAATCCCATGTATCAGCGCTTGCTGAAAAACACCCCACACCCAATCACTCCTGACGACATCTGTCTAAACCACTTTCAGCTCTTGCCTTATTAGGCTGCCTGCTTCCACCCTGTCTCCTTAAGCCAGCAAATAGTGGTGCTTTCCAGAAAGGGCCCAAGGCAGCTACATGGTCTGCTGGACTGGACTACACAACTCAAAGATAGCCTCAGACAGTCCTTCATGAGAGATGTTCTGCTACTCACTGTGTGGTTGAGAAGAATGAAGAACTAATGGGGTTCTCTTCCAACAGAACTACAACCAGATGCTAACCTGAATCGTAATGTGCAAGATTATCACTCATGTTCTTCATCCCATTATTAACAAATGTAAACAGTTGGCTAGGCGGTGCTGACACATGCCTTTAATCCTAGCACTCGGGAGGCAGAGCCAGATGGATCTCTGCGAAGTTCAAGGCCAGCCTGGGCTACAGAGTGAGTTCTAGGAAAGGGGCAAAGCTACACAAAGAAACCCTTCTTGAAAAAAAAACAAAACAAACAAACAAAAAAAGTAAACAGCATTCCAAGCACGCTGTCTATATCAAAACGATCAGTAGTAGGATACTATATGTGGACCCTGCCCTAAACTCTGGAGAGAGAGAGATGGACAGATAGAGAGAGGGGTATGCTTGTGCAGATGGAAGCAGAGGTAGGCACTAGGTGTCCACTTTGGTTGCTCACCACCCTGTTTTTTGAAACAGGATCTCTCACTAAACCTGGAGCTCACTTTTCCAGCTATATCGCCTGGCCCATGTGCTCTAGGGATCTGCCCATCTACCACTTCCCTGGCACTGGAATTACAGAGAATCTGGATTCATCAAGTTTTTTACCCAGTGGGCCATCTCCCAAGACCTTGAAGAGTCCTTTGTGTGTGTGTGTGTGTGTGTGTGTGTGTGTGTGTGTGTGTGTGTGTGTATCCCCTCATTTAGCAAAATCAAGAGGCCTTAGCCAGGTATGGTGCTACATACTTGTAATCCCAGGATTTGGGAGGCTGAGGCAAGAGAATAGAGCATTTGAGGCCTGACTGGGACTATCCAATAAGTTGCAGGATAGCCTACACTATATAGGTGAGACTCTGTCTTAAAAAATAGAAAAGCTTTACCTGTGACCTACGAAAACCTTCCAAGATGCTACTACTGGTCCCTGCCCTGCCCTACCCTGCCTGTGGCTCTGGCTCTCTCTAGACAGCAGCAGCCTCTACCTGTCCTTCCAGCTCTCCTCTCTGTTCCAGCCCTGCACATATCGTGGGGCCTCTGCTTTAGGCTGTCCTACCTGCTTGGGATATTTTCACTCCAGATATCTCCATGGCTCACTATGCCACATCTTTCCCATCACCGAAAGGGAGATACCTGCTCAAGTCACACCTGAAAAGAGTGTGTACAAGAGGACTCTTTGACCCTGGGGTCACCTGACAAAGCTCACCTCACTGGATCAACCTGTTACCACCAATTATTAGAAATAAGCAGGTCAGGCAGCTTCATTAATACAAAATCTGGAGTCAGAAAGGCTAGGATGGAATGCCAACAGTACAGATTACTCAAGTGAGGTGAAGCAAGCGAACTGTGTGGTACCCTGGTCTCCTCATCTGTGGATCTGGGAACAAAGTGGGATATACTATCCTGCAGTCTGGGGTCAGGGGGTGTCTGTGAGATAATACATGGACTGTCTGTCACATATAAACCCTCAAGTTACTGGCTCTTGGTTTTTGTTCCTTGTTGTTCTTTC